CTGGGCTGGAGCTGGGTGTGGGTGCCCGCAGCCCGGGGGGGTCCGGGCGGCCCCTGCCCTCGCTGCCCCGCACGCTCGGGGATTGCTGGGCGTTTCGAGTCAACAGCAAAACTAGCAAGATTGCAAAGTGAAATTCCGGAGGAAATTTAAAGAGCATCCGGATCCGGAGAAAGACAGAAAGAAAGAGGAAGGGAGAAATAAATCAAAACGTGGAGAGAATCTCAGGCAGCTGAAGAAAGGACGGGAGAGAAACCAGCTGACACCCGGGCAGAGATGGGGTGAGACTGGCAGTTTATTATTCTTGAATTGCTTTTATTATTTATGGCCGCTGAGCTATTTTTAAGGTAATTGCAAAAAAAATGAAGGTTTTAAATTGCATTTTTTCCCACATGGCAAGCTTTAAAGTTTAGACTTCCTTTTTGTTTTATGGGTTAGAAAGTAGGTAATTGCAAGTCTCTGCAACTTCTTTAAATAAACTCGTATGTAAGGGAAGCCTCTAGTGATCTCTATGTTGTATGAAATCCACTCTGGGAGGCTGGGTGGGAGGACTGGAGCCGGGTTGTGTTCACAAACTTTTCCAGAAGTTAGAAATCGGGGATTTTGTTTGGCTGTTCTGACTTTGGCGTTCAGTAAAATGAATCCTGTTTGCATTTCTAAATGGATAAATAGCTGACTGGGAATCCCTGATGACTTAGCTTATGATCCCCCTCAGATTTTCCAGGAGTGAAATAATGCTGCATGGATGTGGCAGTGGATTTTGGCATGGAAATAGGAGCTTAGTCTGGTATTTAATTTATGTCCTAGTTATATGTAAGTCTCAGTTGTAACTTTAAGGACCTGATGTGTTGTTGTGAGTTTCTCGTGCAATAAACTCTTCGTGGCTGTTTGAAAGCATAGTGGATCTGTAGGAAGCCTGTCTGATCAACTCCCTCCAAACGCGTGGGTTTGACAATGCAAGAGAAATAAATAACATTCTTAGGGGCTTGTTTGCCTTTTGCTAATTTTCCTCTTGGACTATCTAGATAAAACGATTGAACAGTCAAACACAGATTCAAGAGGCAGAAAAGGTAGAGGCGAAGAATCACAAGTGACAGCAGTGTGGATCTGGCATAGATCCTTTGAAGTTGGCAGAGTCTGTGCTCATCCAGGTTAAATCAGAAAGCGTCCCTATTTTCCTGTAACTTTCCCTGTGATCCACAAAGTTACTGTAAAACTTCTAGAACTGCCAGGAAGGGTTTAACAAGCAGATAGCTTGGGAGTAGCACTTTATTAGAGTTAGTGGATGAATCCTTCTTGGACCTACCGCAGGTACACCCAGCAGCTCTGTGATTTCCTCAGAGGGTCACCACCTCCCATGGAAAATGTTGAGATAGTGTCCCCATCTCAGTTAGACTTCACTGTATAATTATAGTGGTGTAGTAGCAAAGCTATTGTTAAGCCAGAGATGACGTTTCCACCCAAAATTCCTTATTTCCACTTAACTCCTGAGATAAAAGTGTCTTTTTGCTTGTACGGTGATCACATGGGATATCGAGTAGCTTTCTGCAGCGTTCAGATTACTCTGGATACAAAAGATCAAAAGCACATCACCTCTTACATCATGTTCTGGTTAACTTATTTTTAAAGCAGGGATTCTGGTCTCATTCCTCCATATTAGATTTCATTGTAACATCATGTTCTGGTTTTCATGGATAAATTCTCCGTGGGCTCTTTTGTATCTGCTGTACTGTACGTATTGATGCATTAGCACTTCGTCTCTGAAGAGGACAGTTGTAAATAACACTTGATCCTGAGGGAAGTGAATTTAGTTAGGTCCTAGCTGAGTCTTTGGTGGACACTTACACACGTTTCTCTGACTCTCTGCTGATAGTATTGTCAAATGTAAGTACAGGTAGATGCCACTTACCGGCTTCTAATTTGAGCAATAGAGTTTACCCGCTTGTCACATATATCAAGCAAATGAATTCACCCATTCTTATCTATGCTGCCATCCCACTGACCTCCGCTCAACAGGCAATTTGAACTGGCCTTGTCAGAGGGGCTGCTGGTTGTGCTTTTGGAGCGCTGGCAAGGGCAGGTCGAAAATAGCAGCAGATCTCAGGGACTTGCTCTAGTGAAGCTGAGCAGGCATCCATGCCTGGAAGTAGTACGGGTCCTGTAGATTGTAACGGAGATGAAGAGGCAGAATGTGTTGGAGGCATGAAGCGTTTTGAAATGTGCATGTATCTCCAGTTCTCTGGTTCTAATTATTACTGGGCATATTTTCTGGAATGTATAAAGAATTACTTAGCTGCAGTCTGGCTCTGCTGGGTTTTTTAACTTTAATTGCTGTACAGGCTTCCAGCCACGGGTCTGTGTGTCTCAAAAGAAAGAGCTGCTGAAGCTTAGTAGCAGAAGTAACAGTTGTCCCAGGAAGGTGAATGCACAGCTTGTGTTGTAGATGCTCAGCAGTGTAGTGTTCAGCAGCCAAGATGCTCTGTAGATGGGGACTGGTTTCCAAAAGGGGGAAAAAAAAAAAAAACTCTTGGATGTGTTGCGTCTTTAAATGCCCTTGATTCCCTGTCTCTGTGCCTGACCTTGCATGCTTGTCGCTGTTCCCCACGCTGATCCAACAGGAGCATATTCAGCCAGGATTCCTTTGCTGCCCTTTATCTGCAGACAGGCCGTGAGGCAGCTGCTTTTCATTCCTGTGCTAAGCCCTGCTGTGTAATCTCTTGGGACTTGGGGAGGCAGAAGGGAAAGCAGCCCCTAGCCAGCTCCCATTGCTGGAGCTGCACTACTCCACCTTGCCTTTGTGGCTGTGGGGTAGAAGTCTGGCCTCCTTCAATCCCATCTGGACACTAGCAGCATCTATGCATTTTCCCCAAGGTGACATTATGCAGTACAGAATGAAAGCGAAGCTGCAGCTAAGAGGGCTGGAAAACCTGCCTGGTGTTTAGAACAGGGGGCTAGGAATCGGTCCTCCCAAACTTTGTTCCCAAAGCAGTTTTGCAGTCCAGTGTCTAACAATCAGTGTTCTGGAGGCTTGTGCCCAAATCCTGGGTAGGCAATATCAAAGCACGCTCTCTGCACCCATTTACAGTGAAGCAGTAGTTGCCATAGGCTCTGGAGGGAGTTACACCCGGTCCCTGGCTCAGAGGAAGGGTTAGACTTTGGGGAGAAACGCAAAGGGGATGAGGTTTGACTCCATTAACCCACAGTTCTTCCCCGAACAGCGTTGACATGCAGTCAGCAGCTATTCAAGCTGCTGAGGGAAGATAAAAGGAAACAAAGACAGACAGCAGTGGAGGAGGAGGAGATTGGTTCTCGCGCCCTCTCTGTGCTCCAGTTCTGCCTTTTGAAATCCTGGGCTCTGTCTGTCTGAAACACATTTCACCCCCTCCGCCCTGGCCAGCCCCCTCCCTCAAATTACCCCGGACCGTTCTGCTTTGCAGGGTTTCTCACACCCGAGTGCTCTGGCTGGTGATCCAGCAGAAGGGAGAGCCCTGGCCCTGAGGCAGCCAGCACGGCCTCCCAGCTGACTCAGCGTGGCGGTGGGCTGAGCGCCAGCGCTGAGCCACATATCTTTCGTGCTCATATGCTCTCACGTACCCCTTTCTGCTCTGCACAAGCTGCCCTGTGAACACCCATCCAGGAAACCAGACCTTGCAGGGAGAAAGGGCTTTTGGGAAGATTGCAGTGAGAAATCCTTACCTCCTGCTGTGGCTGGCAATGGGCCTTTTATCAGAAGACGACCTCTTTTTTTGGGGGCCTGCTCGTTGTGGCTGCACATTGAGCCCAGCCACAGGGCACAGTGCAAAAATATGTTCCTAGGTCTCTGCATTCTTTTTATTGCACCCCCAAAGCCCTTCCCTGCCCTGTGGCTGAGTACTGTTGTGCCCGTGGTCCACAGAAACAAATGATTCTGCTGATCTGGTACTTTGTGATTTCTTGCATGTGATTTCTTTTGGTTTGGTCTGTAGATGAAGGGGTGCCACAGACTGGCTAGATGCAAAGTATTTGAAGTGATTATCCTCTCTCCGTCCGAGTGCAGAGAGGGTCCTTTCTCTGACAAGTACATGAATATCCCTGCAAAGAGAAGCTGCAGTGAGCGAGAGGAGGTGCAGGCTGGGGAACAGCACACGGGCTTCCTCAAGATGCCCTTGACTGTACCCCATCCAGCAGCACCAAGGCAAATGCAGTTAATGAGGACTGAGCTCAGCCTCCCCAGCACATTCCAGCTGCTGCCTTAAGTGGCTAAAAGACTTTATTCCTCAACTTCAGACCTATTCACTATTCGTGTTCCTGGAGTGCTTTGAACTTGGACTTACCCACCAAATCTCTCTCTTAAAACTCTATACTTGTGTCTAGGTTTGAATCCTGCTCTTTTGTCACACACCTCGCTTTGGAACTGAAAACGGGACAGGAACATTAGTATAAATTTGGGGAATGGTGACTCTAAAAGCTTCCCTCTCCAGACCAAACATAAGGTTTCTTCTCTCTGGTCATGCAGCAAAGGGTGGGGGCAGGTGAGCAGGATGTGATAAGTAATTCAGTTAACTAAATGGGCATGTCACAGCCAGGCAGACAGGATTGTGAGGCGAGAATTACTGAGAACAAAAAAAAATAAAGAGGATCGCAGTGGGAAAAATCTTCCAGATTGCACAGAAAATCGGAGAAGAACGAGGACAAAGCATAAATCAAATGCAGCTGTGCAGTCAGAAAAAGACCCCTCCCCACAGCCGGTGTAGAAGCTATCGAGCAAAGACATTGCTGGATGCAGTGAAAGATCTAAAGCAAACAATAAAAACCTGATTTCATCCTCTCCCTCTCTCCCTTTCAAAGAGGTCTGGCAGGGGGGCTGCATTTTAGCAATTGCCCTTAGGTTTAGGAACCTGCTGAAGAGAGAGTGAGCGCCTGTAACTGTCAAACAGGATTTTTCCCAAAGAGGTGCTATTTGCATTGGAAATACCCTGAGAAAGGAAAAGCAATAAAATACAGTTTCTCTGAGGAGGCTGTGCAGTGTAAGGACCCCAACAGGCAGCTGAAGTTGTGATGGGGCAAAGGGAGAAGGGAGCGAGCATGCAGTGAAACACTGGAGCTGCCACAGTGCTACTGAAATTCAGACATAGAGATAAACGTTTTGCTGAACAGCTCTTTCAAAGGTTGTCTGTCCCTTCCTTTAACCTGGGCTATTCCTTAAAATGGGCGATGTTTCTTTAGGGGATTGTATGCCATTACCTTGTGACGGGAGGCTGGAGGATGCAGTGGGGAACATGCCCTGTTCCCAGCTCTGTCT